TGCCAAAACTTCAATTCACACTATGAAGATCGCTACCAAGCACAGCCGGCTAGCACAGCTGGTAGCAAATTGAATGGTAGTGCTGAAGGCCACATGGCCATCTGCAGGTTTGGATCCCCGGGGTGGATTGGAAAACATGTCAGGCACATCTGTGCCTGCCCAAGCTGAAGGGCTGGGGAAAGGGGTATCTCAGAGTCATGAGACCCTGTCAAGGGTGCTCCTTTCTCTCTCTGTCTCTCTCATGCACTATCATGAATAAAATAAACTTTAAAAAATAAATTATGATTTCAATCCAATATAGTAAAGATTTCTTGAACACCTATAAGTAGCCAGACATGAAACAGTATTTAAAATCTTCCTGACCTTGGACTCCCACGTAGTCGACCGCGGTTCGTGTTCCGGACCCGGTGGCTTAAAACTCACGCCGGGCGCGTGTGCGTGCGTGCCCAAGATCCCGAGAGGAGAATGGAGGAGAAGGGATTGCGGCGTGACCATCCCCCCTGGGGGGTGATTTCTCGTTTTCTGTCTCTATGTCTCTCTCTGTCTGTCTGGCGAGCGCACGCACCCTACAGTGAAAATCTCTCAAAAAAAAAAAAAATCTTCCTGACTTATGTTTCTTGTGTTTGTACGTTTTTTAGATCTAGGGCACATGAGCTCACTGCAGACAGAGAGAGAGGGAATGAGGAAAAGTGAGAAAGCATCCCTCGGGGGGAATGGCCACTCAGTGGATAGTGTATTCAGAAAGTATGATTCTTTTTTTTTATTATTATTTTATTTATATTTTTTGAGAGATTTTCGCTATAGGGTGCGTGCGCTCGCCAGACAGACAGAGAGAGACATAGAGACAGAAAGTGAGAAATCCCCCCCCCAGGGGGGATGGTCACGCCGCAATCCCTTCTCCTCCATTCTCCTCTCGGGATCTTGGGCACGCACGCACACGCGCCCGGCGTGAGTTTTAAGCCACTGGGTCCAGGACGCGAACTGCGGTCGACTACATGGGAGTCCAGCAACATAGCCATTACACTAACTGCTGGTTCCCCAGAAAGTATGATTCTAATGCATCGAATAAATTGAGGATTCTCTAGCTGCATTTGGTAAAGAGGGTCCATGGGTTTTTGAATATGAGAAAATGGAATAATATTGAGTGCTGCCAATCACAAAAACCCTATAATTTCTTAGTTTACCTAGAGTAAATACTGAGGACTAGATAGCCATCTCTGCCCCATTCAGTGTCTTATGACCTGCTATCTGTCTCACAGGGACTGTGGGTGCAGGCAACTTTCCTTTAAAGGAGCTCTGAGCCAGACAATGACCTATGCCTCTACCTTATGGACTTCAACATGGCATCATACATCAAGTATTTGCTTTAAACAGTGTTGGGGACATGGAGCATAAACATCTCCATTGCCTAAGAGTGGGCCGTGCGGTGACTTCTTCCAAAGTGTGAAGTAGGGAAAAGAGCTTTACAGTGGAGAAACCTGATGCTGCTTCAGCCAAGTAGTGACCAGTGTCAACATCGACAGTGAGAAATAGTTTGGATGGGATGTATCCTTTATGAAAATGGCATTTAACCTCCTATTTTTTTTTTCTCCCTGAAATGTATATTCCTGGTCCAGTTGCAAGAAAAACATGAGGGAAATTTCAATTAATTGACATCTTAGAACAGACCTAATGTACTCCTCAAAGCTGTCAAACCATTAAAAACAAGGAAAATCTAGGAAACTGTCACAGCCAGAAGGAGCCCAAGGAGCCATGCTAATTAAGTGTAATATGGCACTTTGAATGGCTCCCAGATTATGAAAAAGACATCAGTGGCCCGGCCATCATGGCGCACTAAGGGAGCTGCTACACAATGCGAAACACTCCAGGTTTGCACTTGGGTCCTGCAATCCTGGCCGGCTGCAGGGCTGGGGGAAGGATTGCAGCATGAAAACCCTGTCAGGGCTTTCTGTCTCTCTCTCTCTTTCTCTCTCATCTCTCTCTCTCTCCTTCTTTCTAGAAAAACAAACTTTTTTTTTTAAAGGGACATGAGGCAAAAACTAAGAAACTCTGAACAAACTATGGTCTTTAGTTAATAAAAATTAACAATTTTCATTCATTGGTTTATTATCATAAATGTACCATACAAATATAAGATGTCAATAATAGTGATAATTATGTGCAGGGATGGAATGGGAGGGGTATATGAGACCTCTTCGCTCAAACATTCTGTAAACGTTAACCACTTTTTGATCTTTGTTTTTTGCCATAGGGCATGAGTGTTTGCTAGAAAGAGATGGAGAAGTGAGAGGGAAAGTGAGAAATCACCTTCCCGGGGAATGGCCATGCTGCGACCTTTCTTCTCCATTTTCCTCTTAGGCTTTTGGCACATACGCACACATGCCTGGTGTGATTTTCAAGGTGCCGAGTCCAGGACTGAAACTGTGGTCCGCTATATGGAAATCCAGCACCTTAACCACCTCGCCATCTGCTGGCCCTAACCTTAAACTCTTCTAAAAAATTAATTATATTTTTTAAAAATCATAGACATAAGGCAAGCAAGGAGGAGAAAAAAAAAAAAAACTAATGTTATTCTTAGCCAAAAAAAAAAAAAGTGTATGAATTGAGATTTAGAAAGGTGACGATACCACAAGATTCAGTCACATAAGATTGTTTCGATCCTCTATTAGCACTTTCCACAGCAGTTTATATTACACCTTGTCTAACTTGGTCCTCACAATATCTTGGAGGTTAAATATTTCTTCTGTCTTATAAGTTACCACCTTATTAGTTTATCACTAATAGGTTACTATACTAGTAAGAGACAAGGAAGAAATGAAATCTGTGTTTCTGGATTTACGTTTGTGGCTTTCTACTTAATAGACTGCAGAGAACAAAGTTCAATGGAATGGAAGCAGAAGTTTCAATCAAGGATGTAATTGCTGAAGTTGGGATGTATAATACAATTGAGGTTGGAGATGACTCTTGACCTTGGGGAATATATGCTTAGGGGTGTGGGGGGAGGGGAGATAGACCAGTACAACGTACAGAAGTCTTAGGTCTGCTGGAGTGGAGAGGAGGGGCAGATGTGGCCATCGAATGTGCACATAACCTTATTACTGTGGGTGGCACGTTTCAAGGTCAGATCCCTACAAATATGTGCAATCTCTGCAGATTGGAAGATTATTTCTTTTTACCTGAGGGAACATTGGAGGATAGGGATCTTGGTTTCTTTTCAGGTGTGAATAAGATGATACACACAAATGACAAAGCTGGCAATTTTTTTTAATCTAGTATAAAGCTCTCTTTTTGTTTCAACTATAAATGCTTTCTTTGCTACTAAATAGTTGACAATTTGATTTTAAGATTGGATTTAGCAGAAGACCCAAAACTTTCATCAAAGTGCAATCATATATTAGTAATAGTTATACTCATAGAATATTTACTATAAGCTGGGTACTATTCTAAGTGCTTTATAAATATAATCTTTTAATCTTTACAACTCCAAGGTAGATATCTTTTACTTCCTATTTTACAAATGAGGAAACTGAAGCATAAGTAAGTTGAAAATTTGTTCAGGGTTACCCAAGTAGTAAGTGGCAGACTTGATTTGAACAGAGGCAGTGTGACTCCAGAATTCATGCTTATGATACTTATGATATATTATTTATCTACCCTTCACCCTGGGTCTACCCACACCCACATACACAGAGAAACATAATGTCATTTATATTTGAGAAAATACAGTTTCTCTAATCTCTAAAGTTCTTTTTTAGAATTATTTATTATCATTATTATTTTAATATGCTATAGGACATGTGCAGTCATCAGAGAGAGAGTGAGAAGGCAAGCTGCCAGCCAGGTCCAGGACTTGAACCACTGTCAGTCATGTGAAAGTCCAGTGCCTTAACCACCATGGCACTCACTGACCTGTCTAAAATTATTTTTTGTCTTCTCAAGTTACCTGAGTACTAGTTAGCAGAGGCATAAAAAAATTATTTATTGGGCCCAGCTGTGGTGGTGCAGGTGGTAGGGCTTTGTTGCACAATACTAGAGCCATATAGGAAGGCTCTGGGTTGGTTATCTGGTTCATCTAAATACACTGGTCATGCCTGTAGGCATGCTTGTGACCCTGACTGGTTAGAAGGCCAAAGGTGGGTGGTCGGGGGGAATGCAATGACATGATAAAACCTTATAAGGGGTCCCTTCCTCTCTCTCTCTCATGAAAGAAAAAAAAGAAAGAAACTTTAAAAATAAACTATTTGCTTGATTTAGTTTTAAAATAAGTTAAATTATATGCCAATACCAAGTGGGATTTATTCCTGGAATGCAAGGATGGTTCAACGTATAAAAGTTAATTAATGTAATATCCACTGTTCACAGAATGAAGGAACCTAAGATCACATGATCATTTCAACTGGTGCAGAAGAAAGCATTTGACAAAGTAAACACTCTTTTGTAATAAAAACACTGACCAAACTAGGATTAGAAAAAAATGATCTCAACATAATAAAGGCTATACACAGAAAATTCACAGCCAACATCAAATTTAGTGGTGAAAGCCTGAAAGTTTTTCATCTAATACTAGGAACAAAATAGGATACTCACTTTTACCATTTTTATTCAATATAATATTAGAAATCCTTGCCAGAGCAATAAGACAAGTAAAAGAAATAAAAGATATTCAAACTGGAGAAGAGACATGTTCTTACAACTCCCTAAAGATTGCACACACAAAAAATACTGTTGGAACTCATAAACAACTGGGACCAGCAGATGGCATAATAGTTATGTGGCTGAACTTCCATGTAGTCAGCTATGGTTCAAGTCCTGGACCCAGGGGCTTAATACTTATGTCGGACACATCTGCATGCATACCCAAGATCCCGAGAGGAAAATGGAGGAGAAAGGACTGTGATGTGGCTATCCCCCCTGGGGGAGTGATTTCTCACTTTCTTTCTCTCTGTCTCTCACACACCCCATAGGAAAATCTCTCTTATAAAAAAAAAGAACTAATAACCAATTCAACAAAGTTTTAGCATATGAAATTAACACAGAGAAACCAGTTGTACATTTTTGCACTGAGAATAAAAAATCTGAAAAGGAAATTAAGAAAACAGCTTCATTTATTGCACAACAGCGTTAAAGGGAATAAAATGACCCACATGGTCAACTGTGGTTTGAGTCCTAGACCTGGTGGCTTAAACTCATGCCAGGTGTGTGTGCCTGCATGCCCAAACTCCCAAGAGGAGGATGGAGGAAAAGGGATTGCAATGTGGCCATCTCCTCAGTGAGTGATTTCTCCTTGTTTCTCTGTGTCTCTGGTGAGCTTATGCACGCTATAGCGAACATCTCTCTCTAAAAAACTTAAAAAGGCAACAAACAAAAAAACTCAAGGGCTGTTTGCTGTTCTTGTCTTCAGGGACCACCTAAGTAAAAGGTAGCTCTCTCTAAGTTTATAACTTCCTGATCTTAGAGTCAGTGGTACTTACTGAGTATGATCAAATGCACATTTTAAAACCTGCTATTTCTCTAGAAGCTATCCAGAATATTTACACAATTAAATTTGCATTCTCACCCTTACAGCCCGAAATTCTTACCTGATAGCTCTGAGGGTTATTCATCTCTATCTTTTGTAACACTTAGCAATCTATGAGCACAAAGTTGAAGATCAGTGAATTATATGTTTAATTTAACTGAGAGAAACTTAATAACCTCAAAATTGGCAGACCAAACCTCTGAAATGCTTTCAGAATTTGGGAATACCTAAAAAGTCACTAGGAGCCAGATGTAATAAATAAGACTTCTCCTTAACAGCATGATAGGGCCATAAAATAGTAATTTTCTTGCATGGCTCATAAACTGAGTGAAAAGACAACTCTTAGAGAGGGTTACTACCTCTTCAGACCCCTAGGGCCAGACAATATTATAGTGCTATATTATATTATAGCTGTATATTATTCATATCGCTTGTTCGTAATAAGTGCCTACTCCCATAATGTATAGTAAGAACTTAACATATGCTTTCCCATGAATTATTCTATTTAGTATTCATAACCATCCAGCAAAGATAAAAGAGGTTTAAACTTTGCTAAAGCCACCAGACTTTAAACCCTGTCTCCTCTCCTCAAATGTATGCCTGCCTTTCTTTCTTCCTTCCTACTTTCCTTTCTTTCTCTTTCTTCCTTCTTTTCTTTTTCTTTCTTTCTTTCTCTCTCTCTCTCTCTCTCTCTCTCTCTCTCTCTCTCTCTCTCTCTCTCTCTCTCTCTCTCTCTCTCTCTCTCTCTCTCTCTCTCTCTCTCTCTCTCTCTCTCTCTCTCTCTCTCTCTCTCTCTCTCTCTCTCTCTCTCTCTCTCTCTCTCTCTCTCTCTCTCTCTCTCTCTTTCTTTCTTTCTTGAGAGATTTTTGCTATAAGGCATGTGTGCTTCCCTAGAGAGACAGAAAGCGAGAAATCACTCCCCAGGGGAATAGCCATGCCACAATCCCGTCTCTTCCATTCTCCTCTCTGGATCTTGGACACGCACGCACACACTCACGGCATCAGGTTTAAGCCAGGAGTCTGGGACTCGAGTCATGTTTGACTATGTGGTAGTCCAATGATGTAACCATTACTCTATCTGCTGGTCCTATGCATCTTTCTAATACCTAAGATTAGCCTTATGTTTTTCCCCATGGCCACTCAATACATATTGTCCAAGACAAGCTGATAGCATTGTTAGTTCTTAGCTTTGTCTGTGCTCCTAGGGCCTCTTTCATGAAAATCCTACCCCAGCAGGCAAGGAGTCATGCTTTCCTGGTAAAAGTCCTTTCCCTCAGCTGCTTTTCTCACTGAAAGAGCCAGATCCTTTCTTAGATGTCTAGGAAATTGCCATTGGGACATCTCATGGGCATTTCAACCTTAACATGTCTGAGTAGAATTCTTGATGATTTTAACTTAGCTGTTCTCTAATTCTCTCATTTTAGCAAATGGTACCATCATCCAATAAGTTATCAAAGCCAGACACTTGAGTGTAAACTTTGTATTTTCACTTCCCAGATACACATGGAATTGTATGCCGCTCTCCATTTAGCTCCATTAGTGCCATCCTAGTCTTAGCCATCCTTCTCTCATTTTGACAGTCGCAGTAGTCTCTAGTCTCCTTACTGGGCTTGCTGATTCTGCTCTTATTTACACTTTACACTAAAGCCCTTCTGCACACATCAGACTAAGCTTTTTATTTATTACTTTGTTTTACTTTGTTTTTAAATAATTATTTAATTTTATTTGTTATCTTTTTTTTTTTTTAATTAGTTATTGGGCATGTGTGCTCGCCAGAGAGAGACAGACAGAGAGAGAAAGCAAGCCATCAGGTCTGGGACTCAAACTGCAGTCATCCATATGGGAGTCCAGTGCCTTAGCCACCATATTACCTGCCCCCAGAGTGAACTTGGTTTTGAAGATAGATATTTGCTATAGGGTGCATGCGCTCACTGGAGAGACAGTGTAAGAGAGAGAGAGAGACAGAAAGCGAGAAATCATTCCCCCGGGGGACGGTTTCGCTGCAATTCCTTCTGTTTTCCTGTCAGGATTTTGGGCATGCACAAACACTTGCCTGGTATGAGTCTTAAGTTGCCAAGTCTGGGACTTGACCACGGTACAATGAGTCGACCCCAGTTTACTACATGAGAGCCCAGCGACATAACCATTCCTCCATTTGCTGGTCCCCAGAGTGAGCTTTTTTTTTTTTTTTTTTT